CTTCCTCAGTCTGCTTTTTGGTCATTGTATTTCATTCATAGCAACAATAGAAACCCTAAATAAGACATCAGAGGAAAAAAAAATTAGTGGACTGACAACCACCGTTATTAATCAACTAGACATAACTGATATTCATAGACTGTTTGATTCAACAGCAAGTTACACATCATTCCAAGCTCACACATAACATTTACCAAGACAGTCTATATTCTAGGTCATATAATACATCTTGACCAAATATAAGCACTAGAAATTATATGGAAATTTTTTCTTCTTCTTTTTTCAAGACAAGGTTTCTCTATGTGGTCCTAGCTGTCCTGGAACTTGACCCTATAGATCAGAGTGGCCTTGAATGAGACAGATCCACCAGTCTCTGTCTCTCAGGTGCTGGGGTTGATGGTGTGCACCACCATCTCCTGTGACAAGGGGAATTATGTAAGACCTTTATCTTGTCATAATATTTAATCTAGAAATCAACAGAGGAAAAAAAAACAGAATAAAACAGGACTATTACAGTTTTTCTTTCTGTTACTGTCATAAAATACTCTTGACAAAAACAACTTAAAGAAGAAAGGTTTAGTTCAAAGTTCATCACATCTACTATCAGAAAGCAAACATCACCTGCATCAGCCCCGTCTTCCACTCTAGTCATTCCGTCTAGAGCCATGCAGAAAAGATGATGCTACCCTCTCTAACAGTTTGCTGGATTCCTCCCCTTCAAGCCAATGCAGTCAACGTAATCCTCAGAGCTCCCTCCCTTTCCTGGGTGATTCTACACTTCCTCATGTTGAATTTTAATAGTAACCATCACAGACATCGACAGTATAGTTGCCATAAACATTATTAAAAGGGTAGCAAAGAAATAGTATACATAAGTTTATAGCAAAGCACTTGATAACCTGAATGAAACTCTGCAATTAAAAAGAAACAACACATAATCTGTAAAAATTCATACAATAGGTAAGAATATATATATATATATGTACACATATACACACACACACATATATATGTAATTTTAAACTGCTTCAATCATTTAATTATTTTCTAAATCAGAAAACATCAAGCCCAAATGAGTTCACTGGTAAATTGTATCAGCTTATCAGAATCTGAAGAAATAGTAATTCTATTAGTCTTAACATAACCCTAATACAACAAATCTTAGTAGCTACAGTCAATTTCTCATGAATTCTGATCGGTAAATCCTCATCAAAATATTAGCAAACCAGGGAGGCTGAAGAAATGACAAAGGTTAAGACCACTGGCTGTTCTTACAAAGGACCTGGTTTCAATGCCCAAAATGTACCTGGCAATTCACATCCTTCTGTAACTCCAGTTCCAGGGTATCTGACGCCCTCTTCTGGACTCAAGTAGGTGGTATATAGACATGCAAACAGACAAGACAGTTATATACATAAAACAATAAGGTGGGTATGGTGGTGTGTGTCTTTAATACCAGCACTCAGGAGGCAGAGGCAGGAGGTGAGTATCAGTGAGTTCATGGCTAGCCCAGTCTACAAAGTGAGTTCTAAGACTGTTCTGTTACAAAGAAAAACCTATCTTGAAAAATCAAATGGAAGGATGGAAGGATGGACAGACAGAGGATAGACAGACTAATAGATACTTAGCAAATCAAATTATTTATTTATTGTTTAAAACAATTTTTTTAAAAGATTTATTTATTTATTTTATTTATGAGTACACTGTCGCTGTCTTCAGACACACCAGAATAGGGCATCCAATCTCATTACGGATGGTTGTGAGCCACCATGTGGTTGCTGGGATTTGAACTCAGGACCTCTGGAAGAGCAGTCAGTGCTCTTAACCGCTGAGCCATCTCTCCAGCCCCATTTAAAACAATTTTTAAACCTAATATATTTTGATCATATTCTTTCCCTCTGACAAATCCTTCCAAACCTTCTCCCCTCCCTACCCAGCCAGATTTCCTAAGTCCTTTCTCTAAAAACAAAAACCCAATACAACAGAATCCCCCAAAATCAAAATCACCAGATGTAATCCAATAAAGCTGAGAGAGACAGAGACAGAGAGACAGAGAGAGAGAGAGAGAGAGAGAGACAGAGACAGAGACAGAGACAGAGACAGAGACAGAGAGACACCATTATACGTTGGTCAACTCCTCCTGAACACGATCCCTGCCCCGAACTGGTTGCTATACCCAGTGTCACTACTGGAAAGCACTGATTTTCCCCCACGCGTGTCATACTGTATGTTTCTCCTTTTAAACTTTGTAAAAGATTGAAGCTAATTTAAGGTTGCAAAAAGGTCGGGATTTATCTGTATTTACCTGAGCCAGGATGGGAATGGAAAGACACTGGAGATGAGATTAAATGGTGTACTGGCTGGCTCCTTTCATCTGTCAACTTGACTGACATAAGCTAGAGTCATCAAAGAGGAAGGAGCCTAAATTGAGGAAATGCCTCCATGAGAGAAGGAAGGCTGACCAAGCCATGAGAAAGAAACCACTCCACGGCTTCTGCATCAGCTCCTGCCTCCTGGATCCTGCCCAGCTTGAGTTCCTGTCTTATCTTCCTTTGGTGATGAACAATGCTGTGGAAGTATAAGCTGAATAAACCCTTTCCACTCAAACTTGCTTTTTGGTCATGGTGTTTTGTTGCAGCAAAAGAAACCCTAATGACGACAAAAGACATTACAGAGAAAATTTGTCTAGAGCTGTGGTGACAGTTTTATAATATATACATATGAAAATTTATCAAAAATGTTACTTTGGCTGTGTGGGAAGTGTATCCCATTACTCCCAGCATTCAGGAGGCAGAGGCTGGTGGCATTCTGTGAGTTCCTGCCACGCAGGCTGTAGCCATCACACTGAGACCCTGTCTCCCCTTCTCATCATCATCTTTTTAATTATATGTATAATTTATCATGTAATGATCATAACTAAAGAATAACAAAGCCTAATGTATCTGATATACTGGAAGGTCACATATTTAGCATTTATATTTTAGTAAGAAACAGTGTAAAGTTTGTACTTTGACTTCATTGTAACAAAGTTCAAGATTTCTTAAACTGTTTATTTTTAAAAATTTAAAATACAAAAATTAAATGTAAGAAAGTGATTCATTTTACAAAAATAGCTTTGTTCTACATTCAAACAGTCTGACAGGGCTGGAGTGTAGTTGAGTGGGAAGTACTTGCCCAGCATCAGGAGGACTAGTGTATTCTACTACAGCAATACAGAGAAGGAAATGAAGAAGGACCAGGGAGGGAGACGGTGTACAGAGGGAAGTGTTCTTTATCCTCCTTATAAATACTTCAACAAGAAACACAAGAAAATCCCAGTAACTACAGAAAACCTTTTGGAGTGTACAGACCCTGCATGCCCGTGCACACACACACTTTTGAAAGTTTGGCTGGGGCTACAAACTTAAAACCCTAAGTTATTTACAATGATGGTCAGAAAGAACTGTATCTTCTATTAATGACGAAAAGTGAACAATCTAGTAAGATTACTTTAGGAATGGTCAGGCTCAATTTGTCACAAATTTAAAAACAGAAATGAATTGATGCTTACAAGCATCTAAGAATTTATTGGAAAAAAAACTAAGACAAACTAAATCTCCAAAGACCAAGAGCAAAGGGGTTTTCTTCTTTCATCTTCCTTGGCAATATCCTGTTCTACCAAGAAAAGCAGAGAATCTGGTTCAAAATGAACACAAAGACTACACACTAATTAGAAGCAGAAGATACATCACAGAGGCAAAGTTATAAAGATTTCAGATGTAAGAGAGTAGAGATGCTATTACTGGCTCTGGGATGAAGAGAGCCTAGGAAAGAAGGGTGGGCTTCAGGAGAACAGCTGACACAGAGATTCAGTTCTACAACCACATGGAACTAGTTCTTTAAAAAACTTGAAAGTTTATAAAATTCTTTCCAGTAAGAATCCAGGCTACCTACCAACTTTACTTGTGATAAATGAACCAGCATAGCACCTCCAGACTTTCTGGCATACAGAGCAGGGACATGATACAATTTTATTTTATTTTAAACAGCTGAATTATAATAACACATCCTAATAGCAAACAGTAAATTAGAAATATATCCAAAATCTACTATCCAGAACAAACCCTTTCCGCCTACTTATCTAAGGCAGAACCTAGGAAAGTGAGTCTTCATTCTGATACTTCTAACCGTCCTTTATGAAAGTCACAAGGTGGTCATGTTTGAATGTCTTCAAAATGTGCCCAGCTCTCAAAATGTGCCCAGTGTCTCAAGTTTTAGTGCCACCTTCACTGGGTTATTAACAATCTCTGTACAATTTCCCTAGTTTTGATTCCTCTCTTCTCCTGGCTCTACTCTCCCTTCCCCAATCTCTCTATGGCAAAGCAACCTAAACACCTTATAAAACTAAAGGTGCACCCTGTTTAATTTCAGTTCTTCCTAATGGCTCACTTTCCCCAAACTATGAGTCAAGGTCTACACTGGCTTACCTACCCCTTCACAAGGAGGCCCTTACACGGGTCTCATCTCCACTGTACTTCCTCACTCGCTACTCTGTCCCAACCAAATGGCCCAACCGCTCTTCTGTTTTTCACATTAACTGTTATGATAATTTAAATAATACCTAATATCCTAAGTAATACTTACTATGAACCAGATACCATGTATGTTGTTCTAAATAGTTTACAATAATAAATTTCAATTATTATTTCCCCTCTTTACAGGTACTGACATATAACTTCAGAATTATTAAGTGGTGAAGCCAGATTTCAAAGTTACCGGTAGCTAAAGTCTGAGTTGAGGCCCACTTCTTAATTCAGATGGTGCTGTTCATACGTCGTCCCTGGAGACAAGTCCAGACTAAACTGAAAGCCGCGTAAAGGGCCAAGAAAGCAATAGTTCTAAGTGCATGACATGTGGCTTGGAAGGTGGCAGAACTGGGAAGGGAACATCTTCTTAGAAGCATTTCATTAGTTATATATATATATATTTTTAAAAAAAAAGAATCGATGCTTCAATCTTACTTTTTCTGTAGTAACCGTCAAAGAAGGAACCAAGGCAGGTGATGGTTCTGGTTGCTTCTTGTGTTTTTGTTTGTGTTTGTCCTTTTCTTTATATTTCTAAAAATAAACAGAAGTAAATGTTTTAAATTAAATAATTCATACATATATAATTTTCTTTTAAAGCTTCTGCTAAAAAAAAAAAAAAGTCACTCCTTTTATCAGTTGTCATAGATTTAAAAAAAAAATTCTTAAATGACCCTTTGTTCACCCTAAGTAAGAATAAAACTGAAGCCTGTAATTATTTGGTATATTTATAAATAACAAAATACAATTTTTTTCTTGTAAAAAACTTGCTTTTATAGATTGCATTTAGGATTTACAGAGTACTTTACATATAGTCTCACATTCTATCATTATACATAATTTTTTTAGAGACAGTAGCTCCTGAATAAGCCCTGCAAAGACAGCTAGCCCTGCCTCATTTACCTCAGTGCTGTCACTGTAAGCATGCACAGCATATCCAGCTACCACACACTAAAGTTTAAGATCCAGATATTAGACATTAAGACATAAAAACTCAAGCAAATAATCATTTCCCTGGTTTACATTTAAAAAAAAAAGAATTGATTCTAATTTCTAGTTACAACAAACAACCAAAAGCAAAACAAAAACAGAAAAGGATAGAAAAGGAAGAAGCAGCAGGCAAGGTTCTAGGAATTCTATTGTGAATCACAGAACTAATCTACATCTAAATGCATAACAAGGAATTCGGTTAAACAAGAAATTACATATTAAGATCCCAACTTTATTTAAAGTCAAAGATTTTTCCATGAAAATGTTCTCAGTATTGGGTATAAATTTTCAGTTAGTTGTGATGTTATTTCTCCTCCAGCAAAATGAACCAATTAAGACTAGATTGAAGTATGTGTCAAGGTAGATTTATTGGAAAACTACTCTTAGGTGGACGACTTCATTGGTCCCCAGGAAGGAGGCCAGGGAAGTCACCATGGGGAGAGAGACAGAGGAGAGTGGCAAGAGAAAAGAGCGACAAGGTGAGTTTAGTGAGGAAAGAAGTGAAAGAAGAGGGGAGCCCAAAATGTCTGGATTATATGGGGAAGAGTCTTTAGGGGCAGCCCAGGCCCTGAGCTGGAGAGTTCAGGGGAGAGAGTAGGGTATGCAAGATAGGGACTGAGGGATACTGGGAGGACCTGAAGGCCAGGTCTGCTTTAATAAGTAATATATGTACCTGAGGCCCTTGTCCCAGGTCTGAAACCAAACAAACTGAATGTCTATATTTCCAATGTATAAATTTAACCATTTAGACCACTTAACATGTCTAAGGCATGAAAGGTAAATTTCCTTTTCCCTGTCCTAAAAGGCATTATATTCCAGTAGAATGAAACACACACAAAAGGATACAGCTCTTACTACAATATTCTAAAAGCACCCACTGTTTCTGGTTACAGCATTAATACTTTGCAACAAAAATAAAATAAAATAAAATAAAAACACGGTACAACTTAAAATCAGTTGAGTTTCTGGTAATAGTTTCAGAAGAAACTTACTGTTTTTAGTTCTTTTAATTGATGACTCCAAAGTAATCATACTTCCAACTTGTGCAATACAATACCATTGTTCCATCAATCCCTTGAACCTGACTTGCTGTAACTTAACAGCTTGTGGTACTTAAGGCCAAAACATGAAGTTTTAAGAAGCTTTACATAGCTTTCACCTCTGCTACCCAGATGATCTTACACATCCTGCTAAAAAAACAACAAGCAACAACAAAAATATTGCACCAGAGCTGGAGATAGCTTGGGTTAACAATGTTTGATGGGAGAAGCCCTCCAACATGCCTGTAGGCAAGTGGCGAAGACACCCAAAGGCCTGCCCAGTGGGTGGGAGGGAGGGCTGGCCTAATGTGAGTAGCCTGTGTAACCGCCTGAGCCCATGGCGATGTCCCAGCCTGTGCTGCCACTGAGGGCCATGTCTGGGCAGGAGCCAGAGTATGTGTCAATGTCTGTGGCTCATATTACCACCAAAGGACATGTGTACATTCCTGGTCAGGACTGCCACCTGAGGCCATGTTGATGTTCAAGGGCTTCGTAAGGCTGGCCCCATGCCCTTCCTGGCCAGTGTGGGTGAGCTGGCCCTAAGCCGGCCAAAAGGGCTTGAGAGCAATCAAGATATAGCGCCCTCCCCCCTTTACTGCCTGTAGCAGGTGGGAAGAGCAGCCCCAAACCCCAAAACTCACCTGGGCAGCACAGTAGAGCTGACCTTGGTGGTAGGAGCTGGCCTCAAGGCCATGAACACAAGAGAGCTAACCCTGCACCTCGAGAACCCCAGTGACCTTGTGGGCACAGGAGAAATGGCCTTACCCCTCACCTAGGCAAAGCAGGAAAGCTATCCCTGGTGGTTCCTAGTGCAGGAGAGCTGCTGAGCTGACAAACTCAGCCACCACCCAGGCCCATATCCAACATTCTGACTTTGTCCTCCCCAACATCTACCCCATCTATGAAGTACTGAAGCAAGTAAAGAGGTCAGTTCTGCAGATCAAAACACAGGACAATAACAGGATGTCTAAGAGAAGTTCCTGTGGGAATCCAGTATTGATGGTGCAACAGAAGAAAGAGGCCTCGAACCAGGCCAATGATTGATTCATTGCATGGGTTAAGAATGTTTGATGGGAGAGGCCCTCCAACATGCCTGTAGGCAAGTGGGAAAGACATCTGCAAGTAAAGGTATCTGGGCAAAAGAATATACTGTGTGACATACTGAAGCTGCCATGGACAGATGTTTGGTTTTTATTTTCCTTGTTTAGTCTTAATTTTTATTTCCTTTTGGGGGTAGGTTGCAAGGGCAGAGGGCAGATATGTGAGGTCAGGTATTGAGGTGCATGCTGTGAAATTCACAAAGAATCAATAAAAAGTTTTTTTTTTTAAAAAAAAAGAATACTTGATGGTCTTGCAGAGAACACACAGAAAAAGTCAAATGAACAGTAAGGTCATATGTGAAGGACCTGAGGGACCTCTCTGCCTATGTGTAGCAATACCTAATCATCCCAACTTTATGAATAAGACCAGTAACCACCATGAAATCAGCCAAGGGTTCCTATAGCCTCAAGAATAAACCCAGCTTACATGACATGATCTACAGAGTGAGTTCCAGGTCAGCCAAGGCTACACAGAGAAACTGTGTCTCAAACTATCTTTTTTCTTTTATTAAAATCAGATAGATAAAACTCACTTTGCTAAGTTTTACATTAATTTTTTATTATGCTGTTACCTCTGTATTTTGTTTTAAATTGTCTAGAATTTTTCTGAAACCAGTAACCAGTTTTAATAGTATTATTAAATTAGTTTAGACTTAACATTTGGTATCTTTTGTTATCACTTATTAAATATTGTTATATAATTGAGTCTAGTCCTCATTTTACTAACCCATTGAAGTCGGTTTGTCTTTTTTAAAAAATTCTTTTCATTTTGTCTCTTTTTTTTTTTTTCTTTTTTTGAGACAGGGTTTCTCTGTATAGCCCTGGCTGTCCCGGAACTCACTCTGTAGACCAGGCTGGCCTTGAACTCAGAAATTCACCTGCCTCTGCCTCCCAAGAGGATTAAAGGCGTGTGCCACCACTGCCCAACAGAATAATTTATTTTTATTTTACGTATTTTTATTTATTGGTGATTTGACTGCATGTATATCTTTGCCTTAAGACCAATGAATCACCTTGCCTCTGCCTCCCAAGTGCTGGAATTAAAGCCATGATCTGGCTTCAATGTTTAACATAATTAACTTTTGAGACAGCCTCATATATGCCAAACTGGTTTCAAACTCAGTATGGACTAGAAAGGTAACATGAACTTTTGATTCTCCTGCCTCCACCTTCCCAATGTTAGCATTACAGATGTTAATCACTGTGTAAATTTATTTACGTGAACTAGAGATCAAACCCAAGGCTTCACACATACTAGGCCACAATGTAGAAAGAGCATTGATTGGGCAAGGGAATACACGAACCTTTGACCTTGTAGTTTCATCAAAAGAAGTACACACAATCTTAAATACAGTTCAGTAAAATATAGGAACCCATACATGGAATGGGTTAAAAAGGAAAAAACCTGCATACTCAGCAGAGGCATTTGGGGGAAAAATTTTATATACATTATTAAGGATCATTGAAAAGAGTATCATCTTAAGTATGGAAGAAAATGGCTAGGGTAACTTTTGTTTTAAAATGTTATGAAGGCCTTGTCAGGTGGCTCGGTGAGTAAGGATGCTTACTGTCAGGCTGATGCTAGAGAACCTCATTGTGAAAGGAAAATTAACTCCCGCAAATTATCCTTTTATCTCCACATGTGTAAGATGGCACTCAAGAGCAAACATGTGCAAAAAAATTTTTTTAATTTATGCAAAAAGAAAAATCAGAGGAAAAAAACAGGAAAATGAACATGGAGTTTCTTCTTACAACCACAAGGTTAAGACAGTATCACTTCCAACTCTCAGTGCCTATAATTTAATAAACAATTCTTTAAACTTTAAGATTGTTTATAATTGCTGGGCAGTGGTGGTGCATGCCTTTAATCCCAGCACTTGGGAGGCAGAGGCAGGTGGATTTCTGAGTTCGAGGGCAGCCTGGTCTACAGAGTGAGTTTCGGGACAGCCAGGGCTACACAGAGAAAAACTCTGTCTCAAAAAACAAAACAAAACAAACAAAAAAAAAAGATTGTTTATAATTTATAAGTACCTTTAATTATTGTCTTTTGGTTTAATGTATATAGGTAGACTGGAGGAAAGGTTAATCTTCCCAAGGACCCAGGTTGGATTCCTAACACCTACATGACAGCTCACAATCATCTTTAACTCTGGTACAAGGAGATCCAACTCCCTCTTCTGGTCTTTGCAATTGTCAGGCACACATATGGTACATGGACAGACAAGCAGGTAAAATGCCCATATACATATATAACTTATTTAGCTTTCTTTTTTTTTTTTAATTAAAAAAAAAATGTGCCACAGATCAAACTGACTCAACTAACCAGACTAGAGCTCTATCAGCTGGCAAGATCTGGGTTTTGACTGAAAAGACCTTGCCTCAAAGGATATAAAAACACAGTCAA